TACATGGTCAAATAAACTCAAGGAAAACGTCGACAATCGTCTTGGAAGGGGCTGCCGAGTTGATTATTTCTTTGTAAACTAAGTTTGATTTATTTGTTGCAAACATTACTAGAGAGAGAAAGATGTGACTAGTATATGTGTGTATGTGAGAGAAAGAGAGAGAGGGGGGTTTTTTATTATTTTTTAATTATTTAGATAGATAAAGAATGAAAAAAATAGAAAATAAATACACAATGGTATTAAGTAAATTTTCGGAGGGACGAAAACAACATACAAACATGATCAAAATGATCATCAATCCTAAAAAGTTAGGGTTTGGATCAAAACCTGAAAAAAAATGCATACCACATGGACCTTTTTTGCAGTTTTGTCTTAATTTAATTATGAAATGAAAACCTTCAAAAATTGGTTTCCAAAAAAATCGAATTCAATCATTAACTTTTTAGGTCATCAATGTTGGTCCATGTGGTTTCAAACATTTTAATGAATGGCTATTTCATCGGTTCTTTTCTGTTAAGTCTAACTAATGTGAAGGTAAAATGATATTTTCTATACCTCAGAGACCATTCTTGAAGTTTTATATTTTATTAATAAAAAATAGAAAAATAACGTTACTACCCCCACCCTCCACACTACCCTCTAGCACCTTCTCATCTTCACTATACTCGAAAACCACCATTATTCGTCATTGGACTGCCACCATACTCTGCCACCAAACGTCACCAGAAAGAAAGAGAAAAAAAAAAAGCATAGGTGAGGGTTTGAACCCGGACCTATGTTGTGCAAGTTCGAATGTTTAACCAACCGATCGGGTATGCCTTATCCAAACAACTGACGTAACATATTATACTTATGCGCTAATAGATAACACCACCTACACCGGATTTTATTGCATTAAACACTCCACGCCACTAAGCATTAAGCACTAGTAGGCACTAACCATTAAACACTAGTAGTCATTGCCTTTACAGCTTCCTACAACACCTATAAATCATCATTTATCAATAAGCATAATAACTAAATAGATAACCACTACATAAATTGAATGCGTGCTCATCACCCGTTTTTTCATTTGCATGCATGCATCCTTTCTTAAGAAGCAAAATCAGTTTCGATCAATTATAGCTAAAAAAGAGAATATCACAACTAACCCCAATTAATATTTTATAAATACAACACCACCACCATATCAACCACCCATTACAATCACATCATCCAAACCCCTTATATACGGATCATCCCCCCTCTCATCTACACTCTACAACAAAGATGGAATCTGAAAAAATGGAGAATGCTCAACATCTTGATTCGCTAACTCCAAATCACCCAGAAAGCGTTGACATTAGTGTAACACAAAATCATCCAACACTGCAATGCAAAAGAGGAAATCATGCTTAACATCTCTACCATTTCACACTACACGAACTATATGATATCGACATAAGTCCTCTAGGATGCAAAGAAATCCGATGTAAACAAGTACATGATCAAACACCTTCCTGACAACTAAGTTAGATGACTTAACAACAAAGAACTAACAAAATGGTCAAACATTAAAAGTTTTGATATCATAGGGACCAATGTTGATAATATAAAAAGTTTAAGGATTAAACTTGATTTTTGTTAAACCATATAGACCATTTATGAATATTTGTCTTCTGAAATAAATAACTTTCTTACAATTTAGCAGTCAAAATACAGGGAGGGGGGGGGGGGGGGGGTTTTTTTGAGTATTAGGGCAAAATAAAAGTAATAGTTCAAAATTCAAATCTAAATAAATTCACGTTTGCTTAAAAGAAAGTCCACAGAAACAAAGGGTGTTTACATTACTACAAGAACTCCGATCTTCTAACGCGAGGGAGACTCGAATAGCTATCACCTTAGCATATTCAGATCTTCTCCGCCCTAAAGGTTCGGTTCATCGTTTCCTACTTTCCGTCGATTTAGATTATTGTTTTCTTTGTAAGCGGCATAATCATGTTCTAGCTTTTCCGTTGATCGCAATTCGTACCAATTCTTTTACTCAATGCAAAATTTAGATCTGTTTCCGATTAGATTTGTATCGGGATACACAAATCATTATGTAATGATGCAGAGTTAACTGTATATCTTTGTGATTTAGTTGAGATGCTTCGGATCTGATTCCCCGTTCTACTTTTTCATTTTTCTTTTCGTCATTAAGAGATTCTTTACCGATATGAATTTGATTAAATGCAGTTTTATCATAAATTTGTAGCTAGATTCCCGGATTTGCTTGAAATCAACAAAAATTTAAACTAAATAGTTTAATTTCTGGAAACAAAGGGGGATTTTTGGTAGATAGATCATATGGAAACTTCATTTCAATAATTCAATCTTTTAAGATCGATTTGTCCATTGTGGATCCGAATTTTCAAGGTTGCCTGTTCGAATTTCCTATATCTTTCAACAAAATTGAAAATTTTAATTATAAACTTATGGGCAATGTATGAAAGTGCATTATATTTTTCTTGCATTTACCCTTTCATTTGATTGTCAACAGTTTTCAACTTTCAAGTTCAAAAATGGCTTTGAACGGAGCTGCTCCACCACGAGGAAGTGCAGCAGCCACTGCGGCCAACTTGCGAAGGAGGAGGACAGGCGGCACTGGGGCGGCAGCAGGCGGCACAGCCGGAAACATGCTCCAGTTTTACACAGATGATGCACCTGGATTGAAGATATCTCCAAATGTTGTTCTTGTGATGAGCATTGGGTTCATTGCTTTTGTTGCAGTTCTTCATGTCATGGGTAAGCTCTACTTTGTTCGTAGAGAGGCTTAATTCAGAAGATAATTTGTACTCCATAAGTTGACTATAAACATGTTTGTTAGTTTTGAAAATGGTAGAGATTTGATCTTTTTGTTGTTTCTAAAATCATTTGGTGATGAGTTGAATGCATTGGGCTGTGTTTGTTAGACTGGATTGGACTGAACTGTTCAAGGTCTAGGTCTGTAGGGCTATTTTGTATGATTAGGATGAAGAGGGCATTCAGTCTTTTTTGTGCAAACAAGAAATTGGAAATGAGATCCTATCTCATCTTGGTTCAGTTTTTTCAATGAGAAAAAATTGCAATTTTTGTTCTATTGACATGAAATAAAAACTTGAAACGATATCCGGTCAGTAGATAGGATTTTCACATGCAGAACATAAAAGGAAATTTGATTAAGAATTCAAGGGAAATGCTAACTTCAAAAGCAAATTGTAATAAAATTGAAGGTACAAAACATGAAATAAATAAGAAAAGAAGGTGAGAATGTACTATGAAGATAAATCAATACTCCAATGCAGAAAATACGAAGATCACCAAACGAAATCTGTCATGGGGTTTTTTGTCGAACAGACAAGGTTTTGTGAGAGGGGATTGAACTCAAAATATATAGTCAGTGGCCATTTAACAGTACCAATGCACCCATGGCCACAAGTGGCAATTTATGTGGTTCATGTGTTAGCCACGTTATTTGACATGACATGAATACACAAAGAGAAATAAATTATATCTCCATTTTCAAGATGTATTTATTGTCACTCGCGAATATGTGTATTTATGTTTCAAATTGTCAGGTAGTGTAGCAGAAGGTTGAAATACCCAACAAAAATGAAAATATCATATTTACCCTTACATAAACATTAAAATATTATATTTGCCCAGAACATATTTTTTTCTTTAATTTTGTAATCCTTTTAAATCCTTATATTTATCAATTTACTATTATACCCTCTAACAACAAATGCCCATCTAAAAGAAAGTTGATTGAAGTGGTTTTTGGAAAAAGAAAATTTTCAATTCAACTTCAAATGCCCATCTAAAAAAAGTTGATTGAAGTGATTTTTTGAACAAGAAGGATGGTTCATTGTTTAAGATAATATCAAATGATTTTTCTAGGGTTTTAGGTGCGAGGGAGATAATTGTAAAGCGAGTTTGTAATTGGATTTGTCATTGAATTAGATAAGACTTTGACAAAGTGATTGATTTGTGAAAAATTGGATTCGTTAGACATTTTGTTCATTACTTTTGTGCCAAAATTCAAAACAAAAGAGTTACATACCTAATTTTTGATTATGTGATTGTTTTGAGATGCTTCAAAAACATATTAAGTCATCCCTGATCATGGAAACCAACAGGATGAAGATTCCAAACCACTCATGTCATCCCTGGCTGCTACCAGATGACTACCCACCTGTTTCATTTAGTAAAAAAAAAAAAAAAAAAGTTAACATCCAAAATTTGTTGAAGCGCCTCAGGAGATGTGAAAATTACAGATATTAGACTTGCAACCATTCTTCAGAAAGCTCTTTCTACAATAGGTAACAAATAATTCACACTAATATATTATTGTCGTCGTTCAAGGGCTGGTCAGAACCCAAACTTCTTTTACGTCGATAATGCATTGTTTGTGGGATAGTTGGACGAAAAAAATATTGGTAATCTGATTATTATTTTGCAAATCTCTTTATTTGGTGTGTTTATGTTGAATCTGAGGTTGCAGTAGTTGATTTTTTTTTTTTTTTTTTTACTTTTTAGTATCGGGATCGGCATGAATGGGGTGGAGAATCTTGTTGCCCTTTTTGTATTTAGGTTTGCCCGTTGGTACAAAGACAATCAAGGTTGATAGCGGAAACAAAAACTCCAGAAAAGGTTAGCTATTTATTGATTGGTGGTCAAGTTACATGGTGGCATTCCTTTTTGTATTTAGCTACTTTTCACATGTAAAAAAGCATTTATTCATTGGCGGCAGCTCACATGGATTTTGTTTATTGGTGGTCAAGTTAACGGGTCAGATCTCCAAAACTCGCTGCTATAGCAAAGATAGTTTTATTGCAGCCTATTTATTAGTAGTTCATCAGCTGAGAAAAATTGGAGTACATAATGTCAAGAGAAATCGATTTAACTCCAAATAGGCTGATAAATTGGTGTGTTTAGACATTTGAATATTCATCTCCAATCGAGATTCTCTGAAAGTTACACATCCAGACCACACGAGTGGGACAATATTCGGACCATACATACATTCAGCTCTAACCACAACATCAAAGTTTTCCATTAAAAAAAAAAAAAAAGAACACAAACTAGTAAATATTCTCCCCCAAAAAAAGGGTAAACATAAGTATTTACATATAGATCTCCTCTCCTAGTGCATGGTATCTCCAGCAACCACATTATCATCCACTGGTTTCGGCCCACCACACGATCTCGAAACCGATTCAAATAGCTTCTCAATCTCTGGTGCACACCTTGTGAATGATCGGCTCCAAAAGTTGTATCGTGGATTCTGCCACATCATCATCATTAATCATTAATATAACATGATATAAAAACAAGTCAACAGCCACTATGTACGTATTATATTACACAGTTAAAACATGAGAAAGATGTTTTTATGATAACCACCTTGATAAGCTCAATGAAGGTGATTAGAAGCCCCCAAGGGTGTGGCCTGTTAACTATCAACCGCTCCAACAGAACTCTCGTTATCTGTTCCTGGATCGCCTCCTGCATTTTAATAATAATATTATTGTTATAACTCCTCTAAAAATATTAATTAAATATATTTGAAAGTGAGGTAGCAGACCTGATTTGACTCGGAGAACAAGTAGAGAAGGATGAAGGAGAAGTAATGCGTATGGTTGTTGGGATATCTCAACTGATTTGCAACTGCATTCAAAAAGAGGTAGCGTCCTTCTGTCTCCAGCTCCAATATCAATGTTTGAAAGATGTCCAAAGCGGCCCCCACCAAGAAGATCGCCAGCGAAGCATTGCTCGCCATGGATTGTCCGTGTGGCGTTCTTGCCTGCAACTGCTGGATTGCCTGCATCAACACAATTCTTATCATTCTTTACACCAACAAGTATTTTTAAAAATTATATTAACCCAAAAAAAATACCTGCATCCCAACATAAAGAACAAGGGAATTCATTAATGGCACATTGTATCGTGTTCCTGCCCTTGCTGCCTCACTTGGTGAAAGAAGCAGTTTCTGCTTTAGTTCAGACAGAAATGAAGTCCCTTGTGGCCTTGTCTGTATAAAAAGTATAACAAAACAAAATTATAAATTAAATAAGAGTCTGGAACGAATCCGAATTGTTAATAAATTAATTTTTTTTTTAATGTAAGTACCTTTAGGTACTCATCCACGTCATTTTTCATTTGCTTGGTTTTCAGAGCTGCATCAACTTCCGAGAGAATGCGAGGTGACTGACTGATCTCAGCTAGCAGATCAATCTGAATATTTAAAAAAATTATAATAATAGAAAATCAATAATGATCACTGAAAGTTAAGTTGCGATTAATTATTATACTATGAATAAGAAAAGAAAAAAACAAGGAACCTTTAAGTTGGGAGTTGAAGGGTCTGGTAATCTCATGTTGCGAGGGAAAGCACTGAGTACTATATTTCTCATCTGAATGCAACTTGGGGGAATGATATCACAGAAACTGAAATGATAATCACAGAGAAACTCTGGGAAATCATGAAGCAACACCAACAGAACTCTCAGTGTGCCCTTGTATAGAAAACGGACCTGAGAAACAAGAAATGGAAGTGATTAGCAGATGATGAAAGTATGTTGCTAATGAAGATGGAAGTTATGAGTGAGATGCAAACCGGCTCGCCAAGTTCAGCATTCCTCAAGAAAGGTTCCATGAACTGGAACAAGTCAACCAGTAAACGTTGGAAATATGGCCAACCCTTTTGGGCGTTTCCACTCAGTAGTTTTGGCATGAAGCTTCTGTGACTCACTAGCTCAAGCCATACAAAGCTGAACACCAACCAATTTCACAATATCAACACATGATCTATAAATATATATATATATATATATATATATATATATATATATATATATATATATATATATATATATTAAATAATGAATTATATTTTCCTAACCTGAATGCAGGAACTTTGAGAGGCTGCAGGGCATGGAAGGAGGTTGCTAGAGCTGTCAGAACCTGCACAGGGCAAAGCAGTAACTTAACATGCAATACAATACAAGATGATATGATATGATATGATAAGAGAAACGAAAAGAGAGAAGTGAATTTTACCCACCTGAAAGTTTGCACCTTCAAAAACCGGATCAAGGGTACTAAGGTCAAGCAGCCAATCAATGAATAACCTGAAATACGGTCTGGGATTGAATGATGTTTTCTTCTCCTCTGCATCCTTTTGAATGAATCTCACAGTCACTGCTAACACCTGTTGCAACATAATCTCTACAGTTTAACATATGCAACTAATCACAAGTCTTGGTTGAAATTCTCAATTCTGACCTTTGACAGAAGAGACAGCTTGCTTACTCCATGGTCAACAGAGGAGAACTAGCCATGCAAAGAAGAAGCAATTATGTTGATGAAAAGCATATATGAAAAAAAATGCATTATAATAGATAAAATGGCGAGAGTCAATAACTACCTTGAGTATCGAAAAGATGAGTGATGCGTACATATCAATGGCAAGGAAAGATAAGGTCTGTGCTTGTTGAGGAGCTTGGACAGGGCTAGAGTTGATCACCTCAGAAGATATACAGTGTGATACAGCAATTTCCTTGTAGAATTATCAATCCATAATTAGATATAACTTACTTGTACTTGTAGGATAAAGAAGATTGCAAAAAAATGAAAAAATGTACTTCCTTTCCTTTGAATGGTTTATTATTTCTTGCAAGATACTAAGTTGTAAAACCTACCAAGAGACGGCGAAAGAAGCGGTCAGATGTATCGTCTGCTTTTAGCAACCCATTTTGCTGAAGTTGTAGAACAAACCGAGCAGACATCTGATCATTAGGGTGTTCATATATCCGATACCACTCAGCAAATAACAGGGAAACCTGTGAGATACATACATTTTCAGTCACTATTTTCCCACCATTTTCCCTTCTATATATAGAGCTTCATATTTGCTTATTACAGCATCTCACTTCTAAATCAATCTATTACAGCATTGTACTTATAATTGAGTGAATGTGTAATGCTACAATGAACAATCAAAAGGGAAGTGTGTTGCTATTTGGCATTACCTGATCATGGAAACCAGCGGGATCGGGTTCAGAAGATTCCAAAGCACTCATGTCATCCCTGCCTGCTACCAGATGACTAGCCACCTGTTTCATTAAATAACAAATAAATAAGTAAACATCCAAAACGTTGTCTAACAAAAGTCAACAACAGCGGACATGAACATGAACTAACCTTTTTGTCTTTTTGCTGTCTGACAAAATCATCCTTCCCAGCAGGAAGTCCAGAGGAGGAGGAAGCTGATGGGTTCCTGGCAACTTCCACAAGTTGTTGAAGCGCCTCAGGAGCATCAGGCCTTGTTGCAAGCTGCATATTAATTTTTATCAGAACTTTAATTAATTTTTTTTAAATAATAATCAAAGGATCAAACCTTCGCCAATGCATCCACAAGATTATGAAGTTCCGATATTACTCTTGCATCATTAGCAACCAATGTTTGGATGAGAGAAATTGCAAACTCTGTTGCCACCTCTGTGTATATCATATATAAATCAGTATGTTAGATAGTCAAAAGTGCAAGTTTACCAATTATAATATATGCGGATTAAATGATAATAAAACTTTGTGTTGTAACATAATCATGTAGTTATTATTAACCAGATATAGTTTTGCACATACTGTTCTTTCCAGCATCAAGAAGCTTTGCCATATGAACATTATATTCAGCAAGGTTCAGCAACTCTCTGCGAATTAAGCCAATAGTAATATCTTTGTTGAACTTCCTATCTTCATCTGAATATATCACCTGCAGGAACACAAACATGTGTCAAAACATGATGAAGGGAATGAAAAAGCTTAAAAGAAAAGACATGCAAAAAGCGTTTGAGAAAAAAAAAATAATAATAAACATACCCAACTAGTCAGTTCCTTCACCACAAGCTTGCTAGCATCACGGATTGAAGCTAACATGGCAAGATGAGCACCAACATGAGCTGTATTCGCTGCATTTTCATACAAGCCTTTGAAGACCTATAACATGGTTGATTGCAATGTTAAAAACTGTTTGTTAAGAAAGATAACCATCAAAAAATATTATAGAAACAGAATATTAAAATACCTTCTGAGCCACAGCCAATGCAGCCTCATCACGACTAATGCATCTAAGAATGACCACAGGAACCTCGCCAATAACAGACTGAAAACAAGCATCCTCTTAATAAAAACTCGCTAAAAACAAAGTTTAATAAAATTACGCATATTTAGATGATGAAATATTACCTGAAGTTCAGCTTCTTTAGCATCATTTGCTATGAGAGATTCCAGCTGAAACAACCATTGACATGTCAGAGAAATAGATAATGTATGTCTACGAATAGTCAGATAAAAACAATGAAGTGAGGTGAGGACAATGTGACACCTTTTCTGAGATAATCTGGTATTTATCCAATGCATCACCAGTAGTCAATGAAGGTTCAGAAGTGGTACTTATGACGCGATCTGAAGCTGAAGGCGAAGGTAAAGGCTGCGCATAGACTCCCGATTCCTATCAATATATACAAGTTACATGTCAGGCAAAAAGATATGAACATTGAGAAGCCGACATCAACCATAGTTATAACTTTTACTGACTTTGGAAATGTTGGAAGAATCTGGTATGTGCAATTCAGGAGCTGACACTGACGAAAATGAAGAAAGAACAGCATCATTCTCAAAATTATGTGGACCGATTCCACCAGCCATCCCAGCATGCCCCGAGGAACCACTGGAAATAAAAATAATTAAAAAAAAAAAAAAGGTAAAGATGAAATAATTGAAGAAAACACATTTGACCAGTCAAACATTAAGAAAAAAAACATAACACACCTGAGGAGTTTTACAGAACTAGGCTCCATATCTTCTGAATCCAAGGAGTGTGCAACTGCATTGATACCAGAGTTTCCAAGACTAGATGAGAAGATACCAGGGTTTAGATTCCCTGAGGCTGAGCCATATCCACGATGTAGTGATCCACCACTGCCAGGTGGAGCAGAAGGACCAAGAGGTACAGTGTTTGAGCTTTGATTGGACTGATTTTGCCATGGTAGTCGAACAAAATCCTGAAGAAAAAAAAGTAAAAAACATGAGCATTACATTTAATGTTAAGTGATAATTCAATACCTTAAAAGTCAACACTACCTCATAAACTCGCTGTTGGGAATGGGATAAGCGACCAGGTTTAGGACGCAAAGCTTCCGGAAGAACACCAACATGACCTTGTGTATACAGGTTTGCATCAAAAAAGGCTGGGCCCACCCCTTCTCTATGTTTCCTTCTTATCGCAAGTTGTGGTGCAAGTTCACCATCTATGGTTTGTACAGCCTGCATGCAACAAAATTAAAAATTAAAAAGTCTGAGCTTCAAACACCTTCTTCAATCACATTTTTCTTTTTAAGAAGATGTAACCTTTTCTGTTGCAGCCTGTTCAATCAAAGCACATCCCAAGTCGAGGTTGTCATTAGTAACAAGCTGAACTGCATGTTCAAGCAGTTCACTCGTGATATTTACAGTAGTCCCAATATTGTTTCTCAGCTGACTTGATATCGAACCACGAAGAGGTTCCTAATAACAAGAGAGATTTTATGTTAATTAAACTTTATAATTATAAAGTTTGACTAAACAATTAATAGATAAAAACAATACCTTGCATGTCACATGGGCTAAACTTCCAGCCAAACTTGCAACCATTAAATGAGCTGCACTGTGTATCCGGCTCTCATCAGACTCCATAGCATAGTCCTGAAATTATGTGTGTAAATGTTTCAGTAATGATTATATATTATGAATAAGGTGACACTGACACACAATGAACGTAAAAATGAACCTTTAAGACAAGTTCCTTTGTTGTTTGAGTTGCTATAGAGACACTACGCTGCACAATGCTGGAAACTATTTCTTTGATAGCTCGATCCATAGACATTGGAAGCACGCTGTAAAACAATGATAAAGTAAGTTAGGTAAACCCTAAAACACTTTTGGTTGTCTCCTTTTTCCCCATTAAGTCCTGCATATGTAAAGTGACTGGATGGGTGATAATGTCTGTTTGGATAAAGCCATGTATCCTTATAGTTTGTTTCTTTTCTAGACTGAATAAACCATCTGGATGAGACTAAATGACCAATTTACCCTTGCAATCCAACAAACAATTTCCACAACATTCTTTAACTTTAATGATATTCAAATTCAAGGTGAAAGAAGTTAGAAGAAAAAAGAAGGGCAAATAGGTAATGGATTGGTGTCTTAATAGTTAATACATTAAGCCAGGTTTTTCTGGCTTAATCCATTGTCATTATGTCCATATTAAGTCAAAAAGAAACATCCCTACAACACTGTCTAGAGTAAGTGCTTAACCCATTAAGTCAGAAAGAAACTACCCCTTAATTTAACTACCAGCCACAAGATGGGGAGAAGATCAAACCTCTGAAAGTGCATATGCAAGCCCAGAGCTTGGAGCTTAGGATTAACAATAACTTGTTGGTCGATATTTGATGCTGGTATCTGTAAAGACATAAATAACACCATTTAAATGAAGGGAATTAAAAAATAAATAAAAATTATATATAAGATGAATAACAATTAACACACCTGACCAACTGAAAATGGCAATTGTGCTTGTAGAAGTCCTTGAGCAGATGGAAGCTGATCAGACAAGCCTAAAGCTGCCATCTTTTCATCTTCACTTAAAGTTGCAGAAGGAAGATGGAGAGGAGCAGCATACTATTTATCAAAAGAAATTATTAATATCAAAACATGGATGCAAAGAACATCTGGGAAATATATGTAGAAAAAAAAAAATAACAAACCTGAGATAGAATACGCGAATGACCACCCGGATGTGATGAGCTGGCAACTTCAACCGGTAAATCGACTTGATTCAGAGTAGAAATCATGCTGGATTTAACTTCTCCAACCATTGGTTGTTGTTGAGTTGACCCAACATCTTTGTTGGAAAAATCAGGGTTTCCTTCAACTTCTCTCACTTTGTCCATAAGAAGGGATGATGGGCTTACTTCCTTTAAATCAACATTGAGATTCTTGAACAAAACCTGAAAGGCCACAATAACAATTGTGAATATGTGAATGTAATATATTATTGTAATTGATGTTACTAATTACATATAGGATTGAAAGGATGAAAAAGCAACATACTTACATTTTTGGGATAATCAAAAAAATTAACTAAAGGCAGTCCATTCATGAAAAACTACCACCTTTTTGACCTTTTATACAAAATTACCACTAGATTCGTAAAGGATCCCATTGCAAATTGTGGAATGGAAAAAACCTTTAAAATATGGAGATAAAATCATATATTTTTCAATATATGAATTAATATGCAATAAATGAATTAGATTTGCAGTAAATTATTGTGCATTTCGCAATATATCAATTAATTTTGCAATAAATAATTTTTTAAAGATATTACGTGGGGGTCATTCAAAAAGAAAATTAACCAATCCATAATGGGACCCATGTCGAAATTGGTGGTCATTTTGTTTTAAAGATCAAAAAGGTAGTCATTTTCTTATGCGAACCTTGCCAATCATGTATTTGTTTATTATAGCTTTTTTCTAATACAGCATTATACTTTTAACATTTTTTAAATACGACATTGTCCTTTGAAAAATCTACCCAACTATAACATTATACCTTCGCTCTTTTTTCTTTTTAGGATATTGTTTTTTTGAAAGATCTACCCAGTTATAGTGGTAAAAATTGCATTGTATTTTGACAATAATGATCTAATTGAGAAGTTTTAAGAAAGCACAATAAACAAAATAAGTGAAAGCATGTTGCTATTTCATGTGTTTAACCCTTGTATTTACTTTAAACTATGATTCTGATTCAACTTATCATTTATTTGTTTTTTCGTCAATAAGAGTTTAATTTTATATATACACATACCTCAATTTCAAACTTGAGATTCATTTTGAGGTTCGGCATTGCATAAATTTCAGCAAGTAATCCAAGAATTCCCATGGTCCAGGGATTAGGAGGTGTATATGCTAGACTATTTTGGCATGCCTCTAAGATCTGCAGCATGAACAAATAAAAAATTAATACCTCACAGTCCTTCAAGAGTAAAAAAAATATATATATCAGTTAATCTACGTACCTTGGAGGTAAATGGAATCACTGCAATCATCAAACCCTTCTCATATGCCTGCAAATATTAATAAATAACCTAGTTATATATCATTTTGAACATCAGATGTAGGTGTTTTTGATGAATAAACCTATATTACATAATGACCTCAATAATTAAACCCTTTGGATCGATTTCTTTAGCACGCAAAACATGGTTTCTGCCAATTGTAATCTTTCCTAACCAGCCTCCAAGATTCTTCAGCAAAGAACGCTCTTCAGAACTGGATTTTATGAGTTCAGATCCTAACAGAACCTGTTACATCACCAAATGATATAAAGACTTCAGTGACCCATAAATGATTATCTTTACAAACACCAAAAAATAAATTATAAAAGTGTACCTTGCAATTCTCATAGGTAGCTTGAACAATCTCTCTGGTTAGAGGTCTTGAGCTGGCTTTCTCAAGGAACTTCAAGTACAAGTCATGAAAATTTGGTTCGATACTTGCTCTGTTAACAAAAAGAGTTGTGGCAAGTTGAATGGTTGTCAAAAGCTTAATACCACAAGATGAGCTTAATCAGTGATAAAGTCTCTCACCTTTTCATGACCATGTACTGTGCAAACCAAGGATAGTACTGTTCTTTCAAAATTTCTGTGAATTCCTTTGCTTTAGCTTCAATATTGGCAGCTGACAAATTATTGATGATAAATGAGATTTTGTCTTGAGTTTCTGATGGTGGGGCCTGTAAATAAGATTCATATTAGGGAAGAGCAAATGAAAGAAAAGAAATCCTTAACATTTAGAGCAACGCCTTATCAGATGCTTATATGCCTTATTGCCCTTTTCTGTAATTCTGAGACCTAAAGTTTTTTTGATTTTGCAATTCTGGACCTTTCTGCAAAAGCTTTGATCCTTATACTGATGTTTTGTCATGATTTTGGGTCCGTGTTCCAAAGAAATGACTATTTTACCCTTTTGTCTGATTTTTTACTTTATTAGTTATAATGTCAGGTTAATAAACTTGGTACAAAAATACCTCTATGGGTGTTTCTCTGCGTTCAGCAGCAGCAACGAGTGTTTCGATATTTAATGCAGAACCAAACCCTGCATCAGATAAAATATATAATGTTAAATATATTAGGTGAAAGAAGACACTAGACACAAAATAAAGTTAAAAACCTACTTGCTGAAGTAACAGATCTAGATGGACGAACAAATGCAGGAGAGGAAGCCAATGCTGCTGAAGAACTAACTACACTCGGTGGCTGCATTTAACCATGATAAAATACAAAAATTAATCAAAAAGAAAAATCTGAAAGATGGAAATCAGGACAAAAAGTGTGTGGTGTTTGCCTTCTGGATGCTAACAGGATCGTTTGCTGTAGCAACTGACATTTGTCCTGTGGTAGGTAAGTTTGGCTTCATATAATTGGATGAAGTTACAGAGGCTCTGTGTCTCTCTTCTAAATAACTCTGATTCCTCTGTTGAAGTTGTATTGGAGAGGACATTTGAGAACCAAGTTGTGCACCACTAGATCCAATCAAAGAGAAAGATGATCCCGCCATCTACAACAATAAAGACAAAAACAGATCAATAAACTTGATCTTTTTCATAATTAAAATTTGATATATCATAGGTGAAATTAGATGTAAAATGCATACCTCAATGTTTGGTTGTGGGATAGAATTATGGTGTTGGTCAGAAGCAGGATTGTGTCCTGCATCTGAATCCAAGTGGCCTGATGAAATTCTTGCAAGAGCCCTTTCGATGAAAGCAACAAGCTCTGAATGAGTAGCACGCAGATGTGATATCTGCAAGATATGTTGGCAGTATTGAGGCCACTCAATCAGTCGATCCACAAACTTCTCCAAAGCCTTTGTACCAAAAACAAACATCTGCAAGGAAACATTGTTATCATTAAATAATAGAGAAAAAAAAAAAAGGAAATGTCTTTTGGAGTAAAGCAACAGATCATGGGAAGTTATTATTACTAACTTTGGAATCTGCAGGTTTGCGCAATGCATCCAAAACAGCACGTAATGCAATCCCAAGTGTCAGATGAGTAACAAGTTGATTCTTAATAAGCAATCCTGTCATTTCAAATTTATAAAAACCATATTTCCTGATTTGGAAAAATGAATAAAGCTTGGAATAGATGATATAAGAGGCCTTACCAAAGACAATAGCAGCAAGCTTAAGTTGTCTATCAGGGTATCTGTTGAAAAACTTGTACTCTTCAAACAAGTTTGCAATCATGCACTCAAATATTTGTTGTTCCCTGCCAAATCACATGCCACCAAACATAAATACTCAATAACCCATTAATGATATTATTAGCAAAATAACTTAAAAGTGAACAACGGATAAACCTTTTATCAGAAGATTCTTTAAATCGGGCAAGCATTTGGATCATTGCATCAATAGTCAGCTGACCAGAGAACATTTGTTGGAAATAAGAATTGGCTTCTGCCTCTACATCATCTCCATATACTTCAGATGTTGACGACTCTTGACCACCATTGTTCTTCATCCTTGAACTGTTGTTTGGAGACTTCAGATATAACCTTTCCATTTCTTTGATAAGTTGGTTAGAAGTAAGCAAGCCTGTATGCGATTGAAGAACCTAAAAGAGAAAACAAGGGTTATATCAACATTCAACAGTGTTGTGTGGGCCCCAGATGATTGAAATTGAAAATGTACACACACCTTAAAGAACACAGAAGCTGTCTCTGCATAAACAGTCCAAATGTTACCAGGGCTATGCAACCGATTGGAAGATTCCTGAACACCAAACTCCACCTCCTTCAGGAATCTGAGGCATTCCTCAAAGAATGTATCCCTGTAAGTACTTAAATTTGCACTCAACCACTTTTCCAGATCTATGAGTTCTTTTCTAGAAGCCAGGGCAGCCAGCTTAATACCCAAAGACATAGGCATCATATCCAATACAGGAGATATAATCTGTTACAGGAAAAGGGTATCTTAAAATACACATAATAAAGATATACATAGCCTTTAATAAAATTGAAGTAGACATCTAACCTTTATCTCCTGGCATAAATCCAAGACTCTGTGTATATTATCTTGATCCATGTTGAGTGCATCGCTTAAAGCTCTCAAGAAAAAGGGACGGTTAACGTGCCAAAGATGGAGCAAAATGCCACCAACAGAAGGGTCTTTAAGTATCACAGGAAGAACAGCCAAAGAAACTTCATTTTGCAGGACATTATATGGCGTCTGCACATTACCATCAACCAAAACAGGTTAAATAAAAAAGAATAAACACAAACTGCTTAAGAATGTGAGAAGAAAATTACATTAACATGGGCCATCCCAAATAATAACACTTCAGGGCAATGTTTAAGAGGGTATTCAAGCAGCAATCGTACAGACTTTGCAAGGCCTCTTTCAGCCAGCTGGCATAAAACCTCCAAAAGATCAAGGCATAACCATGCATGATTTGCATACCCAGATTGAAACTTGGGAGTATTGACTGCATCAACATATGCCTGCAAGAACAAGTGTAAATGAAAACTTGGATCTATCAAAAAATGAAACAACTCGATTGTCCATATAAACATCATATGAATCTTCATAAACCATACCACTTGTCTTTCGCAGTGTGCAAATGTGAATACTTCAGGGGGGACAGAAACAGCATATTTCAAAAAAGACAACTGCCCCTCGGTGTTTTTCCAAACATTGCCACAAACAGCAGATAATGGAAACGGATCCTACATTTCCATCTAATGAATCAGTACAACATAAGCTTCAAATAAAGTAATTAAGAAGTAAAAAGGCATGTGAAAAACCTGGGATGCAAGTCTATAGCAGGAAATCAATAGTGAAAATGCTGCCTCATCTGGGATATAGAAACCCTCGTGATCAAGGTTCTCAATTACAGTGGTCCAGTTGATTCCAGGAGCCTATATATTATAATAGTAGTATTAATGAGATATCAAATTTACATTGATGAAGAAGATTAAGCAATAAAAAGAGGAGTAAATGGGACTAACAAGCTGCTTGATTGATTCTATAAGGACGTCAGTGTTCCAAGAACTCAAAGAGGACATATCAGGAAGACTCCCTCTACCAAGAGCAGAACAAAATGTTGAAAATGCATTTTCTTGGTCCTGGAGACTGGAATCAGAGCGGACTATTGTCCCTAGTATCATAGCAACAGTGATTTCATTGAGGGGTGAGAATGAAGATAACAAATCCTTGCAAAGTGATACATCTGATGTGGAATTATAGCCCAATTCTTTCATCAAGTCAGCCATGTTCATATGCTTCTCCATTTCTGCTAGGATAGCTTCGAATTCACTGTCAGTTCCGTCATTGAGAAAATCCAGTTTCCTGAAGGGAAATTTTGGTAAAATCAGTTGTGAATTCATTAAACGCAACTGAGAAAAACAATAGACGTACCTCATAAACTTGGATTCTTGTAGCTCATCTGAAAGGAGAGGTGACACGATAAACTCTGAATCCTTATCAAACTGAACCAAAGACAACAATTGCATAAAAGAATCCACATGTTTAGAAAGTGCTTCAGATTTATTAAGAAACAGCAATATGTCTTGAACATAGTCAGCATTATGCAAGGAGGTGGTAGCACATAATTCCTCAATCTGTCGCGTACAAAAGTTCCTTCCTGCAAGCAGCAATTATAAATTAAAATTCCCATAAAAGCTAATAGCATTAAAAAGAAAAAAGGAACACTAAGAAAGCTCACCAGCTATTCTGATGTCATTATTTTCCGAATCTGTCAAGGAAAGACCAAATCCAAGTTTCTCATATGAAGATAACTGTAGTGCAACGGATAGATTATCCAAAAATTCTTCAGTGATTGCTGTAGGCCTAACTGACACTTGGAATACGGTACTAAACTGCGGCTTTTCAAGTAACTTTCTAAAAAGTGAAGCAACTACAGGTTCCAGATGACTACTCTTCAAGTCCCTTTCATAAACATTGAAGTGGTCAAAGCATGTCTCCAGAAGCAGAATGCTTCCCTCCAATCCATAATCAACATACTGCAGAAAATGCCATAATGTCAATCCAACTATGATATGTAAGGGTATTAGGGTACATATATATTTGTATCTCTATATTTGTAAATTTATACAAGCAGTCGCACACATGATTTTGTTCTTTTCATGGATTTGGTGATTAATGGTTGCCAAATGGATATGATATAAGTGAATGTAGTTTGGGTTTTCATTTTTATATATTTGTGGTTTATGCAAAATGTGCAACAATGGCTCTTTTTGAGGTTGGCATCTGCTTGCACCCCACACCATAGTAGTTATGGTGTGCAATTACAATCTCTTCTGCTTATCCTAACAGAGATTATACACACAAAATCAAAAACTAATCAGGCTGGCATTTCTTCGGAGCTTCGTTAGCTTTGCGCAGCTTGATGGACACATTAAACTTGGAGTCAATAAAATTGCCAAATTGAACAAGCGTGGATCATTCGACTTGATAATGTCGCTGGACATCCAAATCCCCCCATATAAAATGTAATTCCCCTACCATCGACTACTAAATCAAACTCCCAAAATCCAAAACAAAAAGACCACGCATACACAATCCATTACACGAAACTTAGCTTTTCGAGCAGTCTCATTTTTAGCATGATTGATACTCGTTCCACTTACAGTCATGCGGAACAAATTAAACATCTAGGGTTTTACTTTCAAGTAGATCGCAGGCGAAAAAAGCAAGCATACATGGATAAAATGAATCCTTTAAGGTATAAAGAAAAAGAAAGTTCGTAATATACCTGAGAGAGTTCGCGAAGAACGGAGTCGGAATTGGATTCGTTCAAACTCTCGAACAACAGCCGAATTTCAGTTGAGAATCTTTGCGCCAACGGAATCATGGTGAAATAGCAGTAAATCAGAATTTGGCGATCAGAAACTAGGGTTTCGAATTTAGAGCGAGGGAAAATCGGGGATTTTTCTGAGTACGATATATAACTGTGAAAGCAAGGGGGTGAAATTTTGGGGACTATTGCGAGCATAAAGATATATAGAGCATAAAGCTCGGTGGAATCGGTGCAAGAACTATGAGCGATACACTTCACACTTGTGACTTTGAGTCCCTTTTTTCCATAGACTTTACAATTTTGCCCCAAAAAAAACATTTCGTTTCTTTAGGTATATGTACCACTATATCATTTTAACTTTTTTTTTTTTTTTGGAAAGGGCCAAATTTTATAAAGCACCCAAAGTGAGCAATAAGCAAAGGAGGGACAAAATAGGAACAAACAAAAAAAAGGCTTTATTAGTTACAGAAGAAAAAGGAGATGCTAACCAATCCTCTAAATTACAAATGATTTTATTATTCTTATATTTGATCCAAGTGAATGCTAAGGATTTTATATAACTAGCTCTATTTGTTGGATTGATAAAGGTATTATGAAAGATCCTATCATTACGAAACTTTCATAAACCACAAAACATGGCATAACTGATAATTATCAATCGTTTCCTTTGTCTTGGACATGTGCCCCATTTGGTACTGGATTTCAATAACTCCTTGGTGTTGGGTGATGGAGGTAAGGATGTGCCACACCAGTTAATAATTTTGTCTCTAATAGCTTTAGTAAAGGGGGTTTGAACCAGAAGATGATTGGAGTCTTTAAGTTCACCAATACATGAAGTGCAGAAAGGTGATGTTAAGTTGACTCCTCGACTGATTAGTGTGGATGTTGTGGGAATGTGTTCTTGTGTAACTCTCCAATTGAAACATATAACTTTTAGAGGGATTTCTTTACACCAAGTAACCGACATTTCAATGTTTGAGAGAGGTGCATCGTTGATTATTTTTCTAAGTGATTCCACTGTGTAATTTCCATCTGCAGTAAGGCGGGAGCACCATTGATCCTTTCATGTGTTGAGTTTGGTGTTTGTGAAGTCATTGTGTATATCGCATATTTGTTGTGATAAACGTGCCATTAAGGGGCAGGATTTCCATCTCCAAGGCGTGTTGGGATCCAAAAGCTTTTGAGCAATTGTAGCTTTTTTCGACTGAAGATCATAAATTTCTGGGTTTTTTTTTTTTTTTTGCAATGTTTGATCTCGAGTCCACTTCTTGCCAAAATAGCGTGTCTTCTCCAGATTTTATTGATATCTTGAAAATGTCGCTGATGGTATATCCTTTTTCTCCATCTCTTCTGTTATGGCAGCAATGTTTTTCCACGTTCCTATAATCTTTTTTGCAATAAAAATAATTGTTGGGTTTAGAAGTAAGATTGTGCATACCTATGATGACGTGGTTCCATATTGAGGAGGTTTCTGTTTTTAATCGTCATAACCATTTTACAGTTAGCCCAGTGTTTAAGGCTCTAATCGATCCAACTCCAAGTCCATATTCTTTCTTGGATTTGATGATATTGTCCCATGATATCCAGTGTATTTTACTTTTATCTTCATTTTCGCCCCATAACAATTTTTTCTTTTTTTCTCATAATAGGTTTCCAGCTTTTTATTACGTTCATATTGGCACCGATAGGAAATCCGAGGTGTGTGAATGAGAGTGAACTAGCTTCACATCCAAGTAAAACTGCCTAGCTGAAGACTTCGGTATTTTAAACTCCAAGACCATAGACTTTTGATTTATGGAAGTTTACCTTAAGATCCGATGAGATGTGGAAACAACTCAGTATTCTTGCCAGATTTTGAAGATTAGTGTGTAACCATTCACCAATAAACATGGCATCATCAACATAGAATAAATGAGATAATGTAGGTTCGTTACCAGGTATTTTAACTCCATTAACAATGCAGCTTTTCCAATATCGATTGAAGCACAACATTAAGTCCTTCCATGGCGATTATGAACAGAAAGGAAGAAAGTGGATCTCCTTAACGAACTTCTTTTTTAATGTTAAACTCTTTAGTAGGTGCTTCGTCGATGATCACATAGGTTCTAGAGGAAGACAAGCATCCATGTATCCAAGAAATCCATTTATTACCAAATCCCATGTGTATCACCACCAAGAACAGGTATTCCCAATTAACATAAGTAAATGCTTTGTCAAAATCGAATTTTAGAAGCAAGGTTTTGTTTTTACGACTTTGGACCATGAACGAATCTCGTTGATGATAAGTGGTCCGTCAAGAATGTTATGTTCATGTACATAAGTTGTTTGCTCTTCTCCAATTATACCTCCGATTAATTTTTTGATTCGTGTGGCTAAGATCTGAGAGATTATTTTATAGAGGCAACCTATCAAATTGATAGGATAATATTCATGAAGGGTAGACAGATCGTTAGTTTTAGGGATCAGTGTGATGAAGGACAATTGCAACCCTTTGAAAGACTACCAATGTCTTCAAAGTGTCGAATAACTTTCATAATATCATCCTTTAATAGTGTAACACTCCGTTTAAAATAAAGAAATAGATAAAAATTAATAATTGAATGATAACCTTAAATATGTGATAATGTGTCAGCGTTAGCCACGAGAAGTTAAATGATATAATTTTTTGGAGTTTTGGGGATCTATATTGAAATATTATACTTGAATTGTTATGAATTTTGGATGTTGGGGGTTGTTTTGTAAATTGTAGGTTTAAATTGAAAAAGATTCTTATGGGGAGGGACCAAACGTGTAAAATGTGCATATGTTTGAAGGTGAACACAGGATAAACCCGTCGCCCTCATTTAACCTCCATATATATAAATATTATTGTGTAAATCCTAATCCTAATATGATGCAACAGCTGTCACCTTATAACCCTTAGTGGCCCATTTACATGCTTATTGGGCATGATACTTTCATTACATGTTATTGAGCCTTAGTGACCGACCCATTTACATGCTTAATAGGTCCTGTATACTCCTTACATGTTTAATGGGCCTTGTTAACCCATCTACATACTCGACGGACCTTGTATACTCCTTGCATGTTTTTGGGCGTTAGTGACCCATTTACATGCTTATTGGGTTTGATACGTTCATTACATGTTATTGGGCCTTACTGACCCATTTACATGCTTGGTAGGTCCTGTACAATCCTTACATGTTTAATGGGCATTGTTAACCCATCTACATGCTTGACAGACCTTTTATACTTATTACATGTTATTGGGCTTTAGTGACCCGTTTACATGCTTGATAGGTATTGTATACTCCGTACATGTTTATTGGGCCTTGCTAACCCATCTACATGCTCGATGAACCTTGTATACCCATTTCATGTTAATTAGGCCTTGTAACCAAATTACATACACGAAAACGTTATTTTAAACATTAAATAACGTGTTACAATATTCGCGTAAACATAGTTAAGGATCTTGTAAGACGTTCTTTCATTCGTGCATACCCAGTGTACAACCTTCAATCCTATAGTTATAACCATAGTCTCCTGGAGGGTGAGCGAGAGTTTGTGTATATATCTATACGGGGTTAATAGCCCCGCACCTGAGCTGTTCGCTACGGCTAGACTAGGTCAGTATAGGGTGACAAACGTATTACCTTAAACAAGCGACGTCTGAAAAACGTCATGACAGACAGATCAGTCATATCAAGTATGGTAAAAACGACTCACATACAAATTAACTCCACTATAAAAATTTATGGAATACATATATGCTTTTGCAGCTACAATTCTACACAAACACCATTTTACGGTCTTAGGGTTTTACCATTTTAAGACTACAACACTTTTACAGGCAGAATATATCGGATTTTCTGGGAAACTTACATTATACATTACATTCTGCTTACACCAGAAAAAAAATATAGGATGTTCATTGAATACTCTCTTACACATTTTTCAAAGCAGAAACACACATGCTTTAATACCATATTGATACAAAGCATTCAAACCATTTTTTTACAGGAAATATCGGATTTTCCGGTGTTTACAAAGTGATACAAACTTTTCATACAAATATGTTTATGAACTCACCAACATTATATATGTTGACCATTTTCAAAATAACTTGTATTATCAGGAAATCGTTAAGCAGGTTGGCCTTCAAGAACTCATGGATTTTCTTGTATTTTTGTTATCATCATACGCTTATATTTGGGAATGTAATTTGTAATCCTACACACTGATGTAAATAATGATGGTTGTATTACTGTATGTGTGATGGTGATGTTGTCTTGATTCGATTATTTACACTGTGATGATACTACAAGATGAAGTCACCCAAACCCTCGGACGTTTCCGTTATTCCGTTTGGGGGTGTGACATAGTGTACCGTCAGGTACGCCCAATGTACACAGCCCAGTCCAAAAACTCCATTATGAGCTTATTCCATTAAGACCTTATACCAAAACTCATATCCAAGCCCAAAATTATATCCTAAGTCATAAATTTCCTAACTTTATGACTTTGCATGGCTATAAAGTGTTTAATAACCAAAACCCTAAGTTCTTAACCCAATAAGACATCACAATCTTGTATGGAAGGGCCAAGATCACATTTTTATGGTTCATAATGGATAAAGTTTACAACCTTATCCATTAGAATGGTCCCAACAAACAAGATTTAGTCTTTAAGTCTCAAAGGGACCCAAAATTGCATCTTTTTTTTTTCAATTTAATCCATTAAGTCAAAGTCTCTAACCTTCAGATATGAATCAAAATGATGTTTAGATGGATAAAGTTTTCAACTTTATGCATAAGAAACTCACACACTTTCAAGATCTAAACTTTATGCTCTTAAAGTGACCCAAAGCTCATAACACCCAAAACTAGCTAGATTTAATAATTTCATTGTCACGATTCAAACTTTATCCATCCATAAGAAAGATAAAGGTGAACAAAGTCTGGATCTACAAGCTCTAATGCAACCAACACTTCTTCAACGAGTTCATTCTTCTCCAAGGTGCACCAAGAACACTCCAAAACACTTAAACACCTTCTTTTTGCTCAGAAGGCTCAATCTAGGGTTAGGGTTACAAGAGAGGGTGTTAGAGAGGTCGAGGCTGAGAATGGAGTGGGTTTGGGGAAGTTAAGGAGCCTACATAAGGCTCAAACCACGAAAATAAGGTTTGGGCATTAATCGCGTACGCGGTATGCCCAACGTACACAATTTACGCCCAGCATACTCAGTATGCCCAATGTACGCAGTTTATGCCCAATGTACGCAACTGATCCAAAAATCGTAGCGATTGTAATGTCTTC